TATAATATATTAAATTTTTATCTAAAATTTATATTTTAAAAGTTAAAATATTAAATTAAAACTACTAAAAATAAATAAAAAGAGTATAATTTTAATTAGTATATATTGTTGATAAATGTCAGTGTTACTCATCAATTTTGAAGCTAGACCTTTATACAGTTAATACAAAAAAAAGGTTGACGGAGCTTAAATCCAAGTTCACTGATCAATCTTCAAACAAGAGGTTAAACCATTCATTAAGGGCTTAGATCCTTACAAATCCAAATTCAGCATGCATGTTAAGAAGATTAAAACTTTCTTTTCTTTTCTTTTCTTCTTTTTTTTTTTTAACTTTAATTTGTTTATACTTATCATTTCACTATTAGAAAAACTTAATTTTATTGAAAACATTATGCCTTAATCCTCTTAAAGATTGTTTGAAAAAAAATTGATTTGTGGACAGCCTGTCTATTAAAAAAAAAAACATTTCATTTGTTACTAAATATATTCAGATGCATATCGGATTCATTTCCAAAATATTGAGGCACAGCATATCTTTTTCTTGCAAGAAATTCCAACCATTTGCAGAGTTTGTCAAAAGCTAGATTTCCTCCCCTCTTTTTTTTCATAATATTATGTTTTTTCTGAAGAGAAATAATGTAGTTTCCCTATAAATACTCAAGGGTGATTCATCATATGCACAAAATAACTTGTTTTCAAAACCATTAAGGCATCAACCCATTGTGAGTATTGTAGTGAGGAAGACAGAAGTGGAGGAACATGATGAGCAAAAGAAGAAAAGGAAGAAAAAGGTCTGGAATAGATCTTTGTATTATCGGATTAGTGATTTACCAGAATTATTTAAGGGTGAACTATTCTACACTTATGATATCTATTTTAGTAACTAATCATGACGTAATTGTAGGATTTAAAAACTCACATTTAACTCTTTTTTTATTTTTTTCCACAGGGAGATGCCAGCAACAAAAAACCATTGGGGTTGGTTCAGTTGTTGAATACCATTTAAATCTTTGAAATTACTTAAGCCTATCCACCATATTCATATTAGGTTATTAGCTGATAACCTTTATAACATGTATGGCAGGTGATGCTGCATTTGGAGCTGCAAGTTCATTTGGTGAATCTTCAGGTTCCTTATTGCTGCAGTTGGGGCATACCCACTCCCTTTCAGACTGTCAAGATAAGTGCTTAAAGTGTATCCCTCAAGAGGTGGAGAAAGACAGAACAAGTGATAGGTTACCGGGCATGCCTCACAGTGGAGCAAAGGTGGAAAACAATTTGGCATGAAGGTTGGAGATCGGAAAAGGTGCTAGCTTGTTTACTTTTAAAGATAAGGGGTCACATCAAATACCTCCTTGTCATAGTAGCATCTGCCTGTGCATACGTTGATTGTTGGATTAGGAGATGTGAAAAAGAAAAGGGCAAAGAAGACAAAGAATTTTGTTTGGATCCTTATGAAAATCTATTGTATATAATCCATTCATTACAATGTCTTTTTTGGACCTTCTACTAGTAGGACCAATCACTTGCAGAAGATAAGGAAGAAGAAGAAGAAGAAAAAGAAGAACAATAAGAGCTAGTAAGGGAATATCCTCAGTCAATCAAAGATAGTTCCCTTGGAAGAAAACATTAATCTCTTTGTCCCTCTCCCTCTAGGTGGGGTCTGTTTGAGTTTCCCAAGATTCTGATGTTATCTTGGGAAAGTTTGAATATCCCACCCAAAAGTAGATTTTGCTCTGGTCTCCTTTCTTGATCATGGGTAGTTTTGACTTGCAAAGGTTCCACTCGCAATGGCACTGGAAGCCAATAGCTGCTTTCATGATGCCTTGGTGTAGTTCCTCCCTGCCAATTTCCTACTCAAGCCACTGGTCTTGAGCCCACAACAACAACATTCTGACACAATTGAGCAGTTGTTGAAGCCCCAAATTGAAAAGATATGGAGTTGCAGAGTGTGCCAGAGTATCTTAATTCTTGACAATTCATGAGGTTGAGCCTCTCCTTTCTCCACCTCTCTGCCAAGTCCCCCGCGGCCCTATGATCAGGGAATCTCAGTATGGGATCTCCAAGCATCACTTCCCATTCATGCTACCCATGTCGCTGGACACCCCTCCAAAGACTATCAAGCTCCTCCTCTGACCAGGCACCACCAAAAATTCTATCTAGTGTAAAGCCTAGAGCTGAGTTCTGCGTCACTGGAAGCTGAGCACTATTTAAGGGAAAAGCTCATATTTATTAACATGAATTTGTGGATAAAACCCTGTTAGAAATTGTAACTTAACACAATTACACAATTGAAGTGAAGCTTAAAAGTTAAAAGTTCTCTTTTTGATCTTTTCCTGTTTGTGTGTGCTATAAGGCTGCTTCTGGCAATGGATTTGCCTCTTTGTCACCACCATTCTACTTGGATACACAGAGAGATACAGAAATAAGCATGGAGTATTCTTTGATCTAATGTAATTTAAAAAACCAGAAGCATCAGACATTGCTTGCCTGCATAAGGGGTCCATTACAGGCTTCCACTGATTGCTCCTAGACTTCCCTACAAATTACCAAAAACACAAGCAAACTTCAATTACCACTAGTATCAGAGAACACATCCCATGAAATTTTTCTGCAGTTTTTCATTATAATTCTTTTTCTGTCAGGGTACATCTGATGTTAAGTAAGAACCAATGCTTCAACAAATAATCACTGCCTTAAGCCTTGGATGCCTAAACTATTTGATTTCTACCTTGGCTTCTCTACACTATTATAATATTAAATACTCACTAATACAAAAAGAAGTATAGAACTCACTAATAATACCAACAGTAACACAAGGAAACAATTACCTCTATGTGAGAAGTTTGTCAGGTCCTTTTTCAGAACCTTGAAACTCTTTTCCACTTTCCTCTGTAGCCTTTTTCCTTCAGCATCTCTTATAAACCTTCATTTTTCTTTCACCAGATTCCACATTCTGAAATAAATAGAATAGAATTGTCTCCTCATCAAGACCAAAAAACAGATTAGTAATAATTGCTTTCAGGAAACTACAGTTTAAAGAGCTATTTGCCTCCGGTTCAGTGAGAGAAATATTATTATTAGACAGTGTAATGTTTTCTCTCAAATCTTCTACTTCATTAACCTGCATTATAGAATATTTGTAAAAATGGGTACAGACAAAAATCTAAAGACCTGAGGGTTGGTTTAGTCCTTGAATACCATTTAAAGCTTTGAAATTACTTAAGCCTAGCCGCAGTTCATATTAGGTTATTAGGTTATAATCTTTGAATATCAAATTATATAACCTAAAGAAAAAGTACTTGAATGGTTAGAGTTGAAGGAACACTGAATCGAAGCCATACATCTATAGCAAGTGATGTTGCGTTTGGATCTGCAGGTTCATCTGGTGAATCTCCTGATTCCTTGTTGCTACAGTTGGGGCATTGCCAATCCCCTTTGGGAGCTTTCTGCAAGTATAAAGAAAAATGGTATCAGGTTCTCTAACAATCAAAAACAAATACAAGAACATAAGTTCTTAAAGCCTATACCTCAAGAGGTGAAGAAAGGCAGTTTAACTGACAGGTTGCTGGGCAGTTGTTGCAACAGAGCAACAGCCCCTCAGTATCACAAATCATGCATTGAAAGAAATGCTAAAAGCAAAAGGACAAACACAAAGATGGAAAACAGTTAGGCATGGCTCATGACAGTTAGAGATCAGAAAAGACATGAGCTTGTGTTGCTTTTTGGATCATTTGAAATGTAACTTGCTTACAGATTCAAAAAAGAACTCACCCCATCATCACCAATTGGCCTCTTTGAAATTTTAACTTTTTCACTCTTGGAAGAAGAAGACACTAGAATAAGAGAGAAGCTTGAAGGCTTCTGTTAAAGATTATTCTGAACCTAGCAAAAAGAGCCAAAGGCAGTGCTGTTTGCAAGGTGCAAGAGTTTGAGATAGAGAGGAGCCAAATGGGTGAATTTATAAGGAGGGAGGATGGTGTGTGTTTGTGTGCTTGGTGGAGATGTTAATAGGGGATACATGAGAGAAATGAGCTGTATGGAGTGCACTTGGCTTTCTTTCTTCTTCCTTAGATGGAAACTTCTGTCCCTTTTTTTGCCTATCTTCTTTTGTTCATTATAGGCAAAAGAGGGCTTCATAGTTCATTTAAATTTGATTAAATTTCAGTGAAGTTTGAGTTAATTTAAGTAACACCCTTTTTTAATAGAAATCATATTCTTTATTTACAAGAAAAATGTTTAAAATGGGAGGAGGATCATTGAAACTTAGGATTTGGAATAGGATCATGGAAAGAGAAGGTTAGTTTTTTGATATCCATTTAGGGTTATAGTTTTTCACTAAGAAAGATTCATTAGTAGATTTTCATTTAGAGGAATTTGTTAATCTTTAAGTAGTTTTCCATTATAAAAAGTTCAGCCAAGTAGTTAATCTTTAGAGAAAGTTTGTTAGTAGTTTTTTTTTAAGAAAAGTTCGTTAAGTAAATTTCTTTAGAAGAGACCCTTAAGTAGTTTCACAAATAGTTCATTCTCAAGAAGAGTTTGTAGAATAATTTATGGGCTAGAGAAAATTGATTTAATAACCATGACAGGTTATACAATAGGGATAGTGCTCCCCTTCTTAAATCCTCCCCATCTACCCCACGATTCGAATTTGAGAACTCCAACATGGTCCCTAGGGGACATACTATGTATCATAATCTATATGTACATTGTATATTGCCACTATGTTTAAGCAAGAGCTGACTAGGTTACCCTTTATGCAATCTTTTCGGTAGCCAACAGGGAATTAGAGATTTTTTTGCCAAATAAAGTGTCTTGCCATAAAAAGAGAAAACGTACTAGATTTCACTTACCATTTATGAAATTTCAGTGATTTGGTTTTCCATCACCATTCTTATCTCATTCATTTGAATTCATCGTCAAGAAAATTCTCCCAAGTATAAGCAATCTATTACCATATACATAATATATCTTTTTCACAACCTCCTTTTTTTTTGTTTTCACATGAGAGTTCAATCTAACAAATATACATGAAAATTTATTTGAGGGCTCAAAGTTGGAGGCCGAATTGTAGGCATAAATTACCTTGGCAATTTATCATGTGGGGCCCACACATGATCAATGGCCAAAAAAATTTAAGCGTCCAACTTTCAGCCCCCAAATCAGTTCTCAATAATCAATATACATAACATGATACAAAATGAGAGGTAAAATTCTCTTTTTCTTTAATCCACTCAATCCAAATTTCAGTGTCTAATCTCTTATCCTATCAGTTACAATTCTTGAATCCAATAAATTTCCCTTTTTCGTTCTCAGGAAAACCATCCTACTTTATCTCTTATTCTCTTGTTGTTCCTTTGTTTTTTCTATTTTTTTGTGGACATCATCCCACTTTGTTTTACTTTCTCTTCTTTTAATTGAGTTAATATAGAAAAATTACATTTAAATCTTTTAAAAGGAGTAAAAGACATCAGTAATAGAATAAACATACCTTTCCATGCTTCTTACTTAGAAAATCAAACAACAATTAAAGCAACAAGAATCTATTTCTTGATTTAAACTTTTTCCCTTGTTCTTAAGAATTAAATTAACAGCCTAATGATCAGCAACAGTATGCTTTATTATCTTTCTACAGCTTTTCCACCTTAACAATGCCATGCCTTATTGTTCACATGACACTAAAAATGATATATGGTAAATAAGGTATGTAGGACCTAGATGATGATATGGCTGCCAAATGGTGGGATAATCCTACTTGGCAGCCATATCATCATCTAGGTTCCACATGCCTTATTAACCATAAATCAAAAAAATCAACAAAAATATCAGCTTCTAATAACAGCTTTCCTTGCTAAAATACTGATTTTTATAATTTATTTTTCAATATAAATATGAAGTCTAAAACATATGGACAAAACCAAACACAGGCATCACCATCTTTTAAAATTAAAACCCTTGATTCCATACCTTTCTTCCTTAGCATAAAAGATTAAAGGAACCTTTATTTGGCAAGCCGAATAAAGTATATGGAATGGTTACTATTCTTGATTTGCAATCCCAAATGCCATCAAACAAACAATTAAAAGGAACCTTTTGAGCTTCTAAATTATAAAAAATGAAAAATTAGTAGACTCCGACAGATTGATAGTTAGCTCCTAAGATGACATCTCAGTGTGAAGTTTTCCAACTCTAACTCTAAATGCCTAATTCAAAAGTCTTCTAGGGGTGTCCCAATAGTTAAAAACTTGAGCCTCCATGTTGGAGATCTCAAGTTTAAATCTTGAGAAGAGATTTGGGAAGGGGAGGGCTATCTTCTATTATATAGTTGATCATCTAGTATATATATATAAAAAAAAAAAAAAGCCTAGTTCATATGAACATTTGAGCAAAATCACAGCTTATCACAATTAACAAAAGAGATAATGGCACTATCAGTCCCTGTACCCTCAAACTTTAAGTGCTTTGGTTCCTATACTCTCAACATTCAAGCACTTTAAATGTCACTTATTTCATCAAAGAATCAAACCAAATTTCACATGACGGAAAAATATAACCTTTTTTTAAAACAAATACCTGTATCGCGGTAACAGACATGAGTGTCCATCAAGCATACTCTAAAACAGATTCTTCTTCTTCCCATTGCCAAAATGGTTCTTCAACTAACTGGTGTAATCAACGGTCTTGTGCTGCCAACACCCTTTTCTGGAAGACTCTTTTGTAGCGGCATCTTTTCTAATCAGAATAACGAATGTGGTAAAGTCCGTGAAGGTGATGAGTCCCACGATGAGGAAGAACATCGGGGTCAAACAGATGGGAATCACGAAATTGTTTCTGCGCAATGTAGCGTTCAGTCCCGGCAACGAGATCAGGAACAAGAACCCGCCTGTCATATGCAATAAGTAGGTCTGCACTTTTTGATACCGTTTGCCGCCGCCACCGCCACCGTCATGGAGTGTGAAGGCCATGGCGACGAGGTTCACGAACTCGACGATGACCGCGACTCACTGGAATTCTTCCAATTAGACGGCGGCGCGAAAAGGGTTTGTTTTCTTTCTTTCTTTGTAAACACGCAGCGTAACACTGCTTGTGCGACCCACTCCAGTCCAAATCAGCAAAAACACTGACTTGGAATTTCCAAGTCAGCAGTTCCACAAAATTCCAAAACCGAACTTTTAATTTCCTGAAAAATATTGATTAATTAATAAATATAAACAAAGATGATTTACAGTTTAGATCATAAAATATCAATCTTTGAATAAATTCATCTTCAAATGTTAGATAAATCTTTATTTTATCATTTAGAACAATTTAAATTATAAAATAATAGATTCTTATAAACAATAAAATAAATGATATTTATTCTTTAACAAATAAAAATATAAAAAATTAAGATATTTTGATATTAAAAATATTAATAATTAAAATATGTAATAAACCCTGCTTAAATAATGATTAAAATTAAATATTATGATATTTTTAATGCTTGAATATTCTGATTTTATATTTTTTTCTTAACAAATTAAAATTAATTTGAGCCATGAACACACTCTCTTCTATGATTATTTCCGCAACAGACAGAAAATACTTGAGTTTTGGATATTGATTAATTGATTCTTAGAATGCATGAAATTAAGAAGCTAATTATCATGCTTTCTAGATCCAGTAAATTCTTGTTGCAACACTGGTATCATAGTTCACCTCCAGCAGCACTTA